ATTGAATAGTATACTTACTGGCTCTTTGTCTATTATTTAATATCGTAAATCCGATTATTTATATTGCTTTGGCAGTACTTCATGTAAATTAATTAGTAAGTTACTGATGGTAATAAGAGAATTACGTTTGAAACAAATATTTTGCGTATTGATTGTTGTAAGTAGACATTATGGTATTTCCAGTGCGATTTTGCGAAATTGATATTTCTAACAAAACTACGAATTAACTATTACCTACCAAATATGTCCACGAAGTTAATTATTAAAATAATTATAACTTTGGTTTTAAGCTGGCTTGTTTATGTCACCTATATGCTTCTAGAGCAAAGAATGAAAATTAATTGTGGATGTAAAAGTATGAAATTGAAGATTTTTAGCTGCATTTTAATATTAATTTTGGATTTGGGTTCAAAATTTGTAACACTTGGAGAATGAATGAGAAAAGAGTTGCAAAAACAAAATTCAAACTTATTGTACCCAAATTTACAAAGTTTTTGTGCAATATGCAAATGTTCTTTTTAAATTAACATGTTTTAAAATAAATAACGTATTGAATGTTGAATTAAAAGTTGCATCTGTAAGTAAATAATTATATTCAAAATTATAGCAAACACATTAAAGGATAAATTTAGTGTTGCCTACGTTAAAAAAAATCTAATTATAGTTTAAATTTGTGTTAATTAATGAGGGCTAATAATTTTCTGCTCACCAGATGTCGCTAGTGGACACTGAGGTAAAGTTTTTGTTACACAGTGTAATTTAATTGAAAAGTTAGTTTTTAATATCAGTTTCTAGAGTATTATATTAATACACAAAACAATGCTTCAGTGGTTTCCTCTTAAATTTTTTTTGCACATTTTTAACTTTTTTTAATTTATCTACTTTTATGAATATATGTGGTTTACTTTATTTATTTTTAATCTTATTAATATAAAATATAGCTAAAAGTACAGAAAGAAACAATAACCTTTACATTTTCCGAACAAATTAACTTCCCCGCTATGAAATCTGTCAAATATTATACCTCACTTTCTAGTGGCGCCGCCCTGGTGGCAGAAAAAGTGGTGGGTGCCCAGTACTCATTGTATAGCAGTTCCTATAAACATCTTGTAAAGGGGTACTTAATAATGGCTAGTTAAAGTTGACAATAAATAAAGAATATATTTGTATATTTTTTAAGGCACCAACATGATAAGTTTGACAAAATTTAACAATTAAAAACTATAAAGGATCTATCTTGATTATAGCAATGACAAAGGCTTTATCTGGATTACGGGTTAATCATGGTAGGTAGAAAATGTACAAGTAGAAAATTAAAGACAAAAGAACCTAGCAAAAGCCAGTTTCAATAGTGAACTTATATTTAACTTAAACTGTTTTTAATAAGTACATAAGCCCAGATTTGCTTTTTAAATTTTGGGTTCTAATTTCCTATATCAAATAAATAAAAAATAAAGGTAATTAGCTTATCATATCAGTCTAGAAAAATATTTTTTCTAGATTTTTTGTGAATTTTTGTTCTAAACTATATTGTCGGAATAGTGAAGAAAGATAGAAAGAGAAAGCAGGAGAAATAATGTAAAAATGTACTGAATGGCAAATCTCATTCGATGTTCTAAGTTTTAATTTAGTTAGCTTTAGTAACTTTGCATTTATACATATGAGATATGTACTTAACTATAAGAATTATTTTGCATGTTACCTTTTTTTGTCATAGACAACGAATATTTAAGTACTTGTAAAGCTCACTTAGGTGTTAGTTTAGTGTCCTATATCTTTTTTTTATTAGTTTATCATCTTAACAAATTGTATTAATTGTATATATTATAGGTGCTATATTATCGTTTTAAAATTTTCTTTAAAAACTGTATCATCAGTTTGTATTTATATTAATAGAACATAATACAACGAACCTTACAATCAATGTCCATTTATTCATTTATCACAGCCTATTAAAGTACCACCTGCTGAACCTAGGCTTCCCATTGACAGTTTTTGCTTGAATTTTAAACAATTTTTGACATTGTTGCCACATTCTGTGGATGGATCGGCAAAGGCAGTTTTTTATTATTTTTGAGTTTGTTATCAAGTAGATCCTGCTACCCATCTTCATTTCCCGCTGCCACCTTTTAAGACACCCACGGGATGATATGGGATAGTGGATTCTTTTATGCCACCACTACAAGGATTATAGTTGAATACACACAATAAACACACAGTTTCCACAGTAATGCACAGCAATTCCAATAAAATTTTGTATACTGGATTTGCAGTTCACACAGAATGATCTCGTCACTGTTATTTAATTGTTGGACCTAAGTTAAACATGATGGAATATATAGAATATTAATTTTAGATGTATGTATCACTGTTGTACATGTTTTAAGTATATTGCATTGTATAAACTATTAATTATATGTTTATAACAGGACTTACAGATATATGTACAGGTAACTTAAGTTATTGCTGAATTCAGTTTATGTAGAAAACTGACCAATGTGGCAGAGAATATCTATAATAAAATAAAAATTAAATCTATAATATAACTTGTAGTAAAAAACACAGCTAAAGCTTACAAGAATGCTAAATAAACACTCAAATCCTATGTGAAGTATCTTTTTAAAATCTTAAAAGTAATTTCTTATCATTAATATAAACAAAAAGGGAAAGATAACGGTGTGCCCGAAGATTACGTATATTATAAAACAGATCTACGTGCACTATGCACACAAACTTTTTAATATTGAATTAAGAAAAAGTAAATTTTATGTTATAAATATTTGCCTTCAAATATGAAAAACTTCAAGTTTTTAAAAGTGACTCAGTGACCTTTCATTGTAACTGAATGAGATTCATATTCATTTGTAAAATGAACAAAAAGGCATATCAATGACTATTTTTAATGAATGAATTCTAAGTATTATTTTCAAACACAGCATGCAGTTCGACTGCGATAATGTTTTATATCGGATAGCACCTTGCTTGTACTTGTTAGATTTTCACAATAAAAAAACACCACTATATCTTTGAGTTTAAGTAAGCAATTCTAGTATATATGTATTTATATAATATGTAATTGGTTACTCCGAAAAAGCACTATATGGATGAAATAAATAAATAAAAACATATATTATGTTTTACTCAAAGTTTAACAAAATAGGTTCCATCCCTAAGAAAATCATTATTTTTAATGCCATGTAAAGCCTAGTTGGACAGGTATTATTTTATTATTTTATCACTTCACAGTTGTAAAATTATATCACAAAATATAGATCTGTACTTGTATCAACACTAACACTAAATTTAGAAAGTTTACAATATTTAAATTCATGCCATTTCGTACTAAACAATATAAGTACAATGATTTAAAAAAAATTATTGGATGTGTAGATGCAGAAAGCATTATAACAAGTCAATAATCCCCCTCCCCAAGAATGCTACAAAGCGTGGACCTGAGCCACACCTGTAATCTAGTGGGGTGCCACCTTACACTTCATTTACCAGTACAAGGTTGCCACTCGGAAAACTTTCCTTCCTTGAAAGGGGGCTATGCTCGGAGTTTCTCTACATGATAGACTGTAAAGAAGATATACGCAAAACAAAACAGAGTAACCAATAAAAGCTTGCTTGGATGGTTTACGGAAACTTTTCCTATCCTAAGGATTATTTTGGTTATGTAACTCTTTTTTGATACAATTGAGGAATGGATCCATTTTGCATAACTACCTACACTTGATTTAAACTTTGTTGCTAATATGACACTTCACTATTTATTTTCTATGCTAATGCTATAATTTAAGGCTTTAAACTTCTTTAAAGGCACCGAGGTGATATCTTGATCACTTTAAAGACACCAATTACAGATATTTTTCTTAAAAATGACCTTTTTTGTTCCACATAATTTACAAACGTAATTTAATCAATTCACAACAGCTTATGGTATGATGTGCTAAATAGCTTACCATTTTCATGCTAGTAATTTTTGTAAATATTTTTGTAGTTTTTTCAATGTAAAGGATTACACAAACTGCAATCATTTTCTTATAGATATTTCACTTGTGAGTAAAAATGATAAGCTTACCTAATAAATGTTCTATTTATTTATTTGAATTGTTTTATTTTTACTATTAATGACTATCCAGCCACAATTATTAAACACCAAACTATAATAATTATTTCAATAAGATAATTTAGACACGAGTTACTGATTCCCAATATTGGTGATAGTGTTTTTTCTTGACCCATTTTAACCTAAGTATTAAAGTTTCACAACAACATGGTGTAGAAGTCAACTGCTTATTTCACCATGGGTGCACCATAAAAAGTGTTTGTTTCCAAATGTACTTATGTTATATCTTATCTCCTGTACAGTTGATAGTTTCCAAATATTTTTATGTTGCCTTTGTGATCCAAAATCTGATTTCTGTTCTGATTTTTAACTATATATTAAATTCATATATTCAATATGAGTTTAACAATTATATTAGATAATGATTTCTAATATTTACGTGAACACTACACATTAAATGTAACAAATTTTATGGACTAAACCGGAGCATACCACTGCAAGACTTCAAGATATAAGCTCATTCTGCATAGATCAGACCAAAAATTAATATTCAAAAACTAAAGATAGCCGGACTAACTATGACATCGGGACATCAAAGACCTCCGTTCCATCTGAGACCATGGGTCGGGAATTAAAAAGTTAAACTAAACACGATAAAATCCTTAAAATTAGTTTCATATATCAATAAAATTTTGATAGGCAAGCATGCGTCAGCTGCTTCAATACCTCAATGTGCCTACCTTAAATATGCAGTTTAGAGAAAATACAGGATTTTGTATTATGATCGAACAATAGATTACATTTTATGCTCACTATATTAAACAAAGTTTAGCTTACACAAAGGTTTTATTGAGATTAACTTTTAGTTTTCAATTTCGTAAATTCTCAGTTATCAGCTATATCAGTTGTCTCAATATTCACTTGATTACACTCAAACTAGAGACTGACATCGTTTGAGGACATTGTCATGTGCTTCCGTTAATTTGTTGCCATTTGCAGCAATCTTTTTTAGCTTAACAAATGCATCAATGATTCTGGAGTGCAACTCTTGTTCTGTACGCACATCACAAGCATAAACCTCATTCTTCAAGAATCCCTGAAATAATGTATTAAGTGGTGAGAGATCAGACGACTGTGCTGGCCACTTGTGCAGTCCGTGTCGTCCTATTATTTGCTCTCCAAACATTTCTGAGAGGCGTTCTCTTACACGGAAACCTGAATGTGCAGGATTTCCATCCAACTGGAACCATAATCTATGACTACCATCCAAAGATAAATTATCAATGTATTCTGAAATAGTTCCATTGAGGAGGTCCAGAAACTTCTTTTCATTTATAGGGCCATTAATGAATATTGGACCTATTATTGCATTTCGGTGAATGCCGGCCCACACATTCACAGAAAATCTGTCTTCAGGGGAGGATTCTCGTAATGGTTGAGTTTTGCGTTTGCTCCAGTAACACTGGTTACGCCGATTCCAGATTTCGTTGTGCGTAAACATGATCTCGCCTGTCCACATAATATTAAACAGAAAGTCAGGATCGTCATTTACCTTTTCTAGAAGCCAATGACAGTAGGCCTGACGGACTGAATCATCTCTACATAACAATCCCTGATCTCTATTTAACTTAAACGGTCGACGATTGTCTTTTATTAGGATTCTTTGTACTGTTTTATGGCTTACGCCAAACCGGCGAGCGGTTAGTCGCAGACTAGACGTTGGGTTACGACTCGAATACTGCAAAATGTTGTCTTCTTTGTTTACTGGTATTTCTTTCGCATTAGCGCCTTCGTATTCGTAGGAATTGACCAACCTCCGGTTTTCCCTTAGTTTTTGTACTGCCCATGTAATAGTGCGGAGGTTTGTAGGGCAAGTTCGTGTGTTCCCATACCTTTCACGATATGTTCGTAGGGCAAGCGCAGCGTTTTGATGGCATTCACCATAAATTAAAATCATATCGGTGAGTTCCGTAGCCGTATACCTAAATGAACTCATTATTATTTAAACTCTGTCGGACTAAAACTATTTTCTGTCACTAAATATTATCACATCACCATCGGAGCACTTTTTTCATTGTTTTCAATCACAAACTACAAAGAGTATAGTAATTGTCCTATACAGGAACAAACAAACTCAAACAAACACTCCCGCGTTTTTCAATATGTGCAGCTGTGTGCAGCACATGAGCACAGAACACTAATACCCTTAGGCACATGAGTAAATAACAGTAACACAGAACTCTATTACTCCTACGGAGGGTAAATAAACAAAAACACTTCTTCTTCATAGATAAATATATATGTAGCCGTAGATTGAGGATTGACAAAGTCTATGTAATATGTATGTAGCAAGCTAGTTCTTCTTCTTCTTAATAACTGGCTTTACGGCTCTGGGATCTAGCCCTTCTGAGCCTAAAGTTACAATATATTATAACAATTATCCTTCATAGTATACTGCTTCACAATATGTTGATGCGTCACATTGTGCAGCCCTTGGGAGATTTTGACGGCAACTTGAGCCAGCAGACAGCTGACGGTTGACGATGGTATCTCAAGGCGTCTAAGCAGACAGACACCTAATTTTGAGAATCACATCACCATCAGAGCACATGTTTCACAGTTTCCACTAATAGTTATGCGCAGACACTTAATACACAAAATCGCACCACTTTTACATATCAAAGTCCACTTCAAACCATTATTTAAATTTAAACAATAATACAGGAGCAGCAAACCGCCGCCGCTCAAGTTCCCGCCAAAACTCCCTAAACAAAAACGAAACAGAGGTAAACATAGACTTAGTATATTGCTGTATATATCAAAGAGAATATAATCACTACGTTTAATGCTGGGGCCACAGTAACGAGAAACGTCAATGCCCAAAAACGCAACAATTATTGCCTTAATTTTAACGCGATAAACTGAGTGGCCACACTTGGATAGGTCAGCGTCATTTCAATTTCAATGCCGTTGAACGGCGTTAAAGTATAGTGACCATTTATTTTTTAACTCTAAATGGGACATGGGTTTATTTATACTCCCCAGTTAGCAGGTTAACAATAAAAACAATATTATGTTATTTATTTAAAAACTGTACTTTATACAATTAGTGTTCACTATAATTATAATCACTTTAATTATAATTATTTTTATTTTAACAAATTGTGAAAAATAAAAATTAATCACCAGTTCACCACCAGTTATTAAATGCAACATATTTTTTAATTATATTTATATTTGTCAGTGGAACAAATTTGCTTTAATAAAGTTGGTGATATTTTAAATAAGGGCAAGATTTTTTACATTGATTTTTGTTATCAACATCGCCTTTAGAACTGGAACCTGTAAGTGATTTTTTTCCAGACGTCCACAATTTATTCATAATAGAAAAATACTTTTTCTACTGGAGCATCTGTACCAGGTAGACATAAAATATATTCGATTAAAATGCAAAATAATTTATGTTGAAGATTGTTGGTGAGAAATGTTTGAATACTTCCACCCATCGAATTTCTGCGAAAACTTTGAAATTATCCCATTCGGTTATTTTTTGGTCGGTCCCGTTCTCGCACCGTTTAGGACAATAGGACTATTTTGCGTCCCGGAGCTTTGCTTGGGGACAACGGGACAGGTGACCGAGAAAAGGGACAGTCCCGTTCAAAATGGGACGTATGGTCACTTTACGTTAATATTCCTTGAATTTCAAACAAGATGAACATTGACGCTGCTACTCTATATTTGATGAGTGTAAATTTTTATTATATGAATGTATTTTATCATTGCATAAGCATGGCTCTGTTTGCAGAATCTCAAGAAAAGTAATAACTTTTTCATTATACCACTCTATCGTAGCCATACGTGCGACCCCGTTGCGCTTACCGTGCACAATGAGACAAATGTAGTGTGGCCGCTTCAACGCGTTTATTCATGCGTTAATCTCTTTGATGTACCGCCACTTGAGTTATCGCTCAACGGCAAACGGCATTGTTCTTGCCGTTGTAGAATTATCGCGTTAAGTGGTGGCTACACCTACATTCAACGCCCATCAACGCGATAATTAACGGCATTTCTCGTTAGTGTAGCCCGGGCATAAGAGGCGGGACTTCCATAGTAAAAGTAAATGTATTAAACACAGACTAATATGATACTAACGTATTATTAAAGTACGCCAAGCTACTCTACCAACATCAAGATCATCAAGTGCTGACAACATTGACGAATTACAATAGTGTGGCAAATGTATATACTCGAATAATTTTATCGATATATTGTTTATCGATATTTTTACATAATATGAGTTAAATCTGTATACTGAATTATTTATGAGAAATAAAATTTTTAACGTGGGGATTAAGTAAAAATGCCGATGAGGATAAGAAATCAGTGTATTTTACACACAGCAATTTGTAATTATATCTATACAATTATTAGGTACAATATATATATAGAAACTCACTATTATACTAGTAATTAATTAAGTAAAAAATAAATGACGACTCCGTAGCGCAGTGGCTAAGCGTTTGGCTGCGGCACTGCAGGACCGAGTCTTCGTTCCCGCACTGAACAAATATTGCAATGCTTTAAAATAAATAGTCTGCGACAGGATGCTAGTTTTCAACGTTAGTTTTTTTAAAGGGTAAAAATAATGGGTTTTTTAACACTGATTGGATTAAATTGCTTTTAAGTGTAACAAATACTATGTACAAATCGCTAGGCTTCTTTACAGTGGTACCTATGTACATACTACTCGCAAAGATCGTTTACTAATTGTGCTTTTTAAAATAAGTGCTCATTATAGCTAATGTTTGTAGATGAATAAAATAATGATTTAGTTATATAATCTAATTCTTGCCAAAATGTGACTTTAGAGGGTTATTATCTTTTGCTACATGTAAATGAAACCTAATTAACATACACATAATTGTGGAAGTTTAAATTATGTCCACTAATGAAATAACAGTTCGTTATAGTTGGGTACATATGAAATGCTTGCCACAAATATGTTATGTTTTAACATGTGAATCTTTTCAATTGGTGCATGTGCTAGCTATTTCACCTATTGCTTGCATCTGAAAAAATAATATAACTAAAATCACATTTTATTGAATTAATAGAATGTTCGCAGTCACAATTGACAATGTACTTTCTAAGTATATATAGTAAGTATAAAGTATATATATATAATAGTTAGTTTTGCCATCCCATTGAACTATCAGATTTAGGAAATAGTGTGTTTGTATTTTTGCACACAATCGTACACTATAAAAACCTGTCCTACGTAGATGGCTAGTACAAAAATGTACTTGCGTTAAATATCATATTACAATTAAAGTTGAAATCACCACATACCTTTCATCATCTAAGGTAAATATTGCTACGAGTAGCCTTTTCTTGTCATTTTGTCCGCTTCTTGCACCATTTAATTGGAAAGTTTTATAATGCACATTTAATTTTTTAACAATTATATAAATGAACAACGGCTCCTATAGCAAAATTAAAAGTAATTTTAATAAATAAAATATATAAAAATGTAATTGTTTGATTTGACATTTGAACCTATTTGATTTGACAATGTCGTTAATAGACATATTACGAAAATCAGAAAGAAGAGATAACCGTCATTAAAATTTGACCCCTATAGTACATATAATATAAGATCAAACGAACTTCTCAAGTGAAGTTCGATCATTATTATATGAATCGCTTCATTTGAAGATATAAATATTCACCAGGTAGTCCCCTTAACCTACAGGTGACTCTATGCACGCTTAAAAAGACATTCATTTGACTAAACTGAAGTTAACTGTGAACCGATTTACCCCTACCACCGCCGACTCGCGGACGGGGTGAGTCGCCATTCTGAGCTCATTATTTTTAGAGCGTAGAGAAAAACTTTCCGTAATAGGGCTAGCAAATCACTGCTATGGGAGGGTGGGTAATAGATTATATCTTCAAATGAAGCGATTCATATAATAATGATCGAACTTCACTTGAGAAGTTCGTTTGATCTTATATTATATTTCATCGCTTCATTTTTCAGATATAAATATTCACCAGGTAGAATTTTAGAGCAGAAAGTTTTTCCTTGTAATAAAATAATATATATTTCTTAGAATATATTTATTAGTTATTAATCGTACATGAAACGTTATATAATCACGATAATTGGAACAATTAGTTTTTGTATTTATGAGTGCCGATACAGTCTTAACCTAAAGATTCGACGTAAAGCAAACAGATCTTGCAAATTTCCCCTCATCAACAAGGGTTCTATTGTAGAATCGCGCAAAAGTATTTGATGTAGGAGTCCATCCGGCAGCTTTACGGATGGCATCAACGCTGAGACCCGCACGGCCCGCAGCTGAGGTAGAGGCGTGGCGAGTGCTGTGTGCGCCAAACTTTGATACATCCACTCCACTCTCCGATAGCACTTGTTTAATCCATCGACTGATTGATTGTGTCATGGCTGGTCTGTGTGGTGGCTTGTGAGTGAGGAACAGTTTACCTCTGTTTTCTGTTCTTTTACTTTCTGTGACAGAAATATAATCTTTTAAAACGGTAGCTGGGCAAATATTCACATTTTCTAAGAAAAATGGAATCAGGAGTACAGGTTGTTCTCGGCCTGGGGCGGAAGCCTTTATTATATCAGTAATTATGATCTTTGCGTTATTGTGAGAAAATGATATATTTTCCAATTTAATTAATGATAGGGTTTGTACTCTATGTGCTGTACAGAGGGCTAACAAAATTGCTAATTTCTTAGTAATTTTTTCCAGGTTCAAGTTTGTATTGGGATGCCACTCTGCAACGTGATTTAAAACACGTTGAGGGTCCCAGGTCTGTGTATATTTGGGAACGTTTGGCCTTAATTTATAAGCTCCTTTTAGCAATCGACTTACACGTTCGTCTGAACCAATATTGTTGCCGAGAAGTAATGACAGTGCCGATCTATGAGAATTCAGACTTCCATATGTACAACCGCCATTAAACTGGTCAGTTAAAAAGGATAAAAAAGGAGATACAGATGGTTGGAACGGATTAATATTTCTATTATCACAAAACCGCCACCACGCCTTATAGGTAACATTATATTGTTTTACCGTACTATCGGAGAGTGATGCTAGCATGAGGTTGAGGGTCTCTGGTGGGCATCTTCGGGAGAAAGCTTGCTGGAGAGCCTCGCGACACCCAAGGTAAGGCTCGCGTGTAAAGGATGGTGTTCCCTAGAATGTGACCGTAAAAGATTCTTATAAGGGCCCAAGAACAGAATGTTGGATGCTAATAACCCTTGTAATAAGGAGAACCAGGGCTGTGAAGGCCAATAAGGAAAAACAAGTATTCCGTGTGCCTTGTCATCCATTATTTTCCTTAAACAATTTAATATTATGGAAAATGGGGGAAATGCGTAAAAATAACATCCGCTCCAGCTTATAGTAAAAGCGTCTACAGCCATTGCATCTGGATCCGGTCTCCAAGAAACAAAGTTTGTGCATTTGGCGTTGGTGCGGGAAGCGAATAAGTCGATATTTGGTTGGCCGAAATGTGATACAATGGTTTGAAAGCTGGTAAAGTGGAGTTCCCATTCGGTGTCAGGATTTATAATTCTAGATTCAGCGTCAGCCCAGTTTTCTTTAGTATTGACGTATGACGCGTAGATCCAAATTTTACGCTTTTCGCACCATTGCCAAATTTGCCGAGCGATCTGGTTTAAATGGGGGAATTGTATTCCGCCCATGCGATTTACATAACTGATGGCTGTAGTGTTATCTACCCGTAACAGTATCGCGCAATTGGTTTCTTTAGATGCCAAGCTTTTGAGTCCGAGAAAGATTGCCAATAGTTCCAAATAATTTATATGGTAATTACGTTCACTAACTGACCACCCTCCGTGAGCGCGTTCTTCATCGCGAACTGCGCCCCAGCCAGTTCGTGAAGCATCTGTGTAAATTTGAATTTTATAGGCGGCGTTTCGCATTGGATGTGATGTTTTTTGAATGTTATTAGTCCACCAAATAAGATCCTCAAGGATAATACTAGGTAAATTGATTTTACTCTCATAATTCTGATTTTCTAATAACGCGAGATATTTTTGACGTTCCAATAGCTTGGTGTACAACCAACCGTATTGGACAGCAGGGCACGCCGCAGTTAGATTACCAATTAATTGAGCAAATTCTTGAATAGTGCATGTAGGTAGATAAGTAAACTTCTGAACCAATTGTGTAATACTGTTACGTTTATTATCTGGGAGAGAAACGGTTAGATTCTCAGTGTTAAAGATAAAACCTAAGAATTTACAAATTTGCTTAGGTTGGAGCGAACTTTTATCGAAATTTATGATGAAACCTAGACATTGCAATAGTTTCAAAGTTTCATTTACGTTAGATCTGCAATCGTCATAAGTATTGCCGATGCAGAGAATATCATCTAGATAAACTACTGAATTAAAACCCGCACTTCTCAAATGAGTTACGGCTTCTTTCATAATCTTGGTAAATACCCTAGGAGCCACGGACAGCCCATAGGGCATTGACGTGAACTCGTAGGTCGTGGTCTGAGTGTTTCTCTTAAATTGAAATCTTAAATACTTTCTATGTTCAGCATGAATCGGAATTAGTAAGTAGGTTTCGGATTAGTCTTTTTTATTTGGAGACCCTGTCGTTCAATTGCCCTGGCTGCCTTGATCTTTTCTGCAAGTTTGTTACCGAACAAAGTTTCGTCTCTTACGGCATCTTGAACTATGTGGAGGAAGTTCTTATCCAGGTTTGGTGTAATGAGCTTTATGCGGCTATTCGTATTTACCGTATGCAAATCCGATAGTATACGGCAGGCATTGCTAAGATGTTGGATAGCATTCTTCTTGTCATCCCCACTTAAGAGAGTATTAAGCGCTCTGTTAATGGCTGTTATCTCCGACCCTAGTTGTTGTTGGTGAACTACCAGGATCTTATCCCTGTTTCTTACAGAGTCTATAACTGCTGCTGATATCTCTGCGTTTAATTTAGGCGCTTGCAGCAACCTACAGTTGTCCGGGATTAAGTACTCCTTCAAAATTTTTTCTTTTTTATCTTTTGGCAAGCCTTTGACGAGTAGAGGAAGCCACAATTTGGCTAAACTATCGTGAATTCTTTCTCCAAACTCTGGGGTATCGCTGGTGGATTCACCGAGGGCTTCTAAAAGTTCAGGGTCCAATTCTGGTTCGGCTGATTCATCGTTCGGGTTTTGTTCCAACGAGGTTGCCTCCAAAGCCAGTGGCTCTAATGGTTTCTCTGTCCTGGTCTCTGGTCTAGACACTGGCTCCACTGCGAGCTCAGGTTCTGGCGTAAGCTCGGGCTCCGGCATGGGCTCAGGCTCTCTGATGGATGGTGTGGGACACTGTCCTGAAGAGTTCCCGAGATCCTTCGCATTATTTTTAAGGCTTAACTCAGGTTGGTCGGCATCTTCAACACCTAAAACGAATATTTTTAGGGTTAGAAAAGTGAATTACTTCAACAAACGAGGCTCACGGCCTGCCCTGATGAAGCATTTTGTTTCAACGAACGAGGCTCACGGCCTGTCCTGATGAAGGTTATTTTTTCAACAAACGAGGCTCACGGCCTATTCTGATGAAAGCTGGTAGCGTGTAAAAAACAACACGTGTTAACGAAACCTAAAAGTTACGTAATCTTGACTCATGATGAATCGTAATAATAAAAAAGTTTATATGCTTACCTTCACTATTGGAAGAATCGGATGATATGACGCGTATTCGGCGATGTCGTCCGATATCGCGTTCACGTAATTTTCTAATTTTGCGTTCGTAACGCTCGATTTTTCCTTCCGCACTTCGTTTTGGCATTATGATTTTAATTATAAATACTAAAGGCAAGAATAAAGTAAAAACTTATTCGGAGACGCGTGCTGTCGTCACCGTGCACGAAAAAGGAATGAGCTCAGAATGGCGACTCACCCCGTCCGTGAGTCGGCGGTGGTAGGGATAAATCGGTTCACAGTTAACTTCAGTTTAGTCAAATGAATGTCTTTTTAAGCGTGCATAGAGTCACCTGTAGGTTAAGGGGACTACCTGGTGAATATTTATATCTGAAAAATGAAGCGATGAAATATAATTTTTATTATGGAAGTTGCGCCAGCCTGGTATATATACTAGACTTTCAAGCCGCGCGATAGACTTGGGCAAAAAATATCGAAATGATCGAATTTTTTAATAAAAATATCGATATATATCGTCGGTATTTTGAATCGCGATATATCGTTATTTATTTTAGAGTATCGAATTCATATCAATTTCGATATATTTTAAAATTAAAAAAAAAATAATTTTTCGTCGTCTAAACGTCGGTATTATAAAATTTTGGCCTTATCTTTACATCATGCAAATGATGACGATATATCGATATTTATCACGCGATATATATCGATACTGTTTAAAAATATCGTTTTGATATATATCGATAATTTTTTTCCCTTGCCCAGCCCTACCGCGCGAATCGGTTGCAGGTTGCCAACTTAATTTTTTAGGAGATCGTACCATAAACTGAAAAAAATCGTATTGTTACGAGCTTGAGGTTCGAGACAATTAAGAACTGCCGAGTGAATTACCAAAATTGACTATTTAATTACACAACACTAATTACAACTTAAAATCACACTAATAATAAAACACAGTTCGCTGTTATTTTGCTTCGAAGTATTCTCTTGTATCGCCAATTCATTACTGCCCCGGTCGTGGTCTATACCGGCCTTATATAGGGCCTCAGATAGTTTCCAGAACCTTCTACTGTAGCGACATCTAGAATGTTCGAGTACATATCGGTCCCGAAATTTCTGGAAGGATCTCGACTCTCCTAGTTCTGCTACTCGACACTAGAGGGCGCTAGGGTAACTAGTGTTGCCATGTACAAGACATTAATAGTGGCGCGTAATACTTTCATTTACTCGACACTAGAAGGCGCTAGTGTAACTAGTGTTGCCATGTACAAGACATTAATAGTGGCGCGCAACATTGCCCCCTCCTAAGACATGCTCGTCCCGAGCATTATTGGCCCCATATTAACGCGCCAGTCGATCCACATGGACAATCTTAGGAGTACCTCTGGCACATTTCTGTATCCGGTAGGTTACGTCATTGATCCTTGTCACAATGCGGTATGGTCCGTCCCATTTAGCTTGAAGCTTAGGAGATTTCCCTTTGCTGTGAACTGGATTGTGTAACCACACTAGTGAACCTTCATCAAACCCCTTGTTGTTCATTTTGCGGTCATACCGTGTTTTCATCTTCTCAGACGTTTGCTGGCCCGTCTGTCTGACGAGCTCATAAATGTCATTCATTTTGTTCCGCAAGTCATTTGCATAATCGGTTATACTGCGTGGGGCATCAGGTGGTATTCCGGTGATCAGGTCTGCAGGCAGCCGCAATTCTCTCCCAAAGTTTGCGAAAGCTGGTGTCACTGATGTACTTTCGTGAACAGCGCTTCGATATGACAACAAAAACGGTTGTATGTGCCTGTCCCAGTCTCGTTGCCGTTTTTCCACAACTTTTGCTAGGTACGTCTCCAATGTCTGATTAAATCTTTCTACCAATCCATCAGATTGTGGGTGGTAAGAAGTTGTTCGTGTTTTCTGAGTACCCATAGCTCGGCAAGTTTCCTGGAATATTTGAGACTCAAAATTCCTTCCTTGATCGCTGTGAATCTCTAAAGGTACTCCAAAACGACAGAAGACTTCATGAACTAGTTTATCTGCAACTGTTGAAGCTTCTTGATTTGGAATGGTGAAGACTTCTGGCCACTTAGTGAAGAAATCCATCACAACCATGAAATACTTGTTACCACTTTCAGTTTCTGGAAACGGCCCCGCAACGTCAATGGCTATCCTCTCCCATGGTGCACCAACATTGTACAATTTCAATGCGCCTCTACTACGAATATGAGGTCCCTTTACAGCCGCACAACTTGTACATTTGCGGCACCAGTCCTCGACATCGTCACGATAGTGGACCCAGTAAAACCGTTCTCGGATCTTCAGGAGAGTTCGTTTAACTCCCAGGTGGCCTCCTGAACAACCACTATGGTACAGCTGTAGAACATCCGGCACTTTAGCCTTAGGGACAACCATTTGCAAATGACACCTGTCTCCCCGACCATTTTCCCATTTACGGCACAGGACTCCATCCTGAATCAGCAAGCTGTCTCATTGGGCCCAATAGCTTTTCGTGGTCGAACTCATTGCTGAGACGTCGCTCCACTTGGGCTTAGGAGCACTGGCCTTCATCCATTCCAGAATCGGCTTAATGTCCGGATCTTCCTGCTGTGCATGTTGTAGGCTGTCCTTCCATTCATTGCTGAGCTGGTCTGTCCTGAATATCCTCGCGGATACCACTTCTTTACCCTCTTGCCTAGTACAATGCTTGCAATCTTCAGGGCAAGGTCTTCTTGATAATGCATCTGCATTGCCATGAGATTTCCCGCTGCGATGTTCGATCACAAAGTCGTATTCCTGTAGTATTTCAATCCATCTCGCAACTTGTCCTTCCGGATTTTTGAATTGCAATAGCCATTTTAGTGCAGCATGGTCAGTTCGTAAGTAGAATTTCCGCCCTAGGAGATATTTGCTAAAATGCTGCAAGAACTTTACCACAGCAAGCAATTCCCGTCTTGTGACACAATAGTTGCTTTCCGGCTTTGACAACGACTTGCTGAAGTACGCTATCACAATCTCTTGATCACCATTCCGTTGAGACAACACACCGCCAAGTCCCATATCACTTGCGTCTGTGTCAACTATGAATTCCTTAATGATTTCTTATATTTACGCGAACACTACACATTTAAATAAAACTAATTTTACGGATTTTATCGCGTATATTAACTTATTTTACTTTCCCCCCCGTGACCATGGGTGCTGTAAAGTGCTTGAAACGTCGGGAAAGTAAAATAAGTTAATATACGCGATAAAATCCGTAAAATTAGTTTTATTTAAATATGAATTCCTTGCCCGCATCAGGGTACCCCAAAATAGGTGTTTTGCACAGACGGTTCTTGAGCTCTTGGAATGCAATATCGCAACTTTCATCCCAGCAGAAATGTCGCTTCTCCTCGGTTAACTTGTGCAGAGGTTTGGCTATATCTGCAAAGTTCTTCACAAATCGCCGATAATAAGAGCACAAACCCAAAAATTCTCTAACCTGTGTCTTGTCTTTTGGAACCGGCCACTCCTTGACAGCGGCAATTTTCTCTGGATCCGTGCGGATACCTTCTTCCGACACTACATACCCCAAAAAACTAACTTGCCGTTTGAATAGTGAGCACTTCTTCGGACTCAACTTGAGGTTGGCACTCTGGATCTTCTTGAGCACGCGTTCCAGGTTTTAAAGGTGTTCCTCAAACGTACGGCCTACGATGATGATGTCGTCCAAATAGACCAGACAGGCATATCCAATTAGCCCGGTAAGTACAAGTTCCATCAACCTTTCAAATGTTGCTGGAGCATTGCACAATCCAAACGGCATGACTTTAAATTGCCATAGACGCTTTCCTGTGGAGAATGCAGTTTTCTTCTTGTTCTTAGGGTCAATTTCAACCTGCCAGTAGCCACTTTTCAGGTCCAGCGTACTAAACCACTTTACGCCTGTAAGCATGTCCAGCGTGTCATTAATTCTTGGCAAGGGATAGCTGTCCTTCTTCGTAACGTCGTTCAGGCGGCGGTAGTCAACACAAAACCGCATGCTGCCGTCCTTCTTCTTTACCAGGACCACAGGTGAACACCATGGACTAGATGAAGGTTCAATAACACATTCCTTCACCATTCCCTCAATCATGGTTTCCACTTCCTTTTCACGTGCTACAGGCAATCTTCTTGGCCGCTGACGAATAGGCAATTTTTATCCTGTGCTTATTTTGTGTTGAACTAAGCCAGTCTTTCCTATGTCAGCTTCGTTTGACGAAAAAACATTGGCGTACTTGAGTAACAACTTCTTCGCCTTGACCATTTCATTCGGGGAGAGAACGCTGCGGCAGTCTTCTAAAAGTGTGGTCACTCTCGTTTGTCCATCCTTGTTGGGGGTCCCAGTCGATAGATATTCGCACCGACGCAACCAATCCACTTCCTCACTAGTACCAACCAATGTGCCTTTTCTATAATCTGTTCCTGATCACAAAGGTTCAACTCACGTACTCCTGAGATGTCGGTGGTTAAGACCAAGGTTCGAGCCACTTTCCATAGAAGGTCATTGTCTACCCTTTCCACGAGTACACAACGATGAGCTTGCCCAGGACTCCGAGGAAGACTAACCGGCACAATCGTTTCCGATCTCGGCGGAAGAACAATCTTCTTAAGGCTGTACACATTCCCTGGTAACGCCCCTTCCACGAAAAGTTCCTCTTGTCGACATTTCAAAAGACCTTGCTTAACGTCGATCTCACAACAATTCTTCCTCATAAAGTCTAGGCCCAGGATGCAGTCGTCCATTATATCAGCCACGATGACATTATGCAGGTAGATCATGTTGCCTAGCTTCAACTCCATCTCCTTCTCTCCACGGACGGGTATGCGCTGACCGGTGGCTGTCACCAAATTAATGCGTTCGCGGTTGTATGCGGAGTCCCCAAGAAACTAATTTATAAGTTGGGAACTGACCACCGTGCGAGAGGCTCCAGTGTCTATGGTCAGTTTACACGGCTTTCCGTTGACCTCGCCCTTGATGATCAGGCTGTTTCCATCACGGGTTTGTGAGATCGAAATCCTTGGGGTTCTTTTAACATCAGCCAGCACCCGCCAGTTTCTCTGCTGCTGCTGGGCAATGCTGTCAGCCACTCTACCCTCTCGAGATCGATCACCTTCCCTTTCTACAGTTCGTTTAGCGAAGCTGGATCGAAGATGGCCCCTTTCCCCACAGACGTAGCACCTAGGGCTGTAGCCCTTATTGCGGTCCTGAACTGTAGCTGCTGCAACCTCCCTGACGCGGTGGGAACGATGATCCTGCCGCACGGCTTCCACCTCCAGTGCATGGGTCAAGGCGTCCTTAAGCGTCTCGTGGTGCTCGAGCCTCACAGCAGCTCTGACTTCAAGGTCGCGGATGCCCTCGATGAATGTCTGCACCAGGTTCCCTACAATGAGCGCAGGTACACACTGGTACGCTTTTCGAACCAGCTTCTCCACCTTAAGGGCCCACTGCTGCAGGTTTTCGTTACTGCGTTGCACGCGATCTTTGAGCTGCGCACGAAAGACGTGTTCCAGGTGAGCATCGCCATATCTCGCCTCCAATGCCTCAAGGAGCTGCTCGTAAGTCATTTCCTTACCGAGAGCTTCCAGAACAGTTAAGGCCTGGTCGCGTAGGACTAGGGTGAGAGCAGTCATGGCCTGACTTTTGTTCCAGCCGTTCGCTTTCATGACAGCCTCGAACTGGATTTTGTAGGCCGACCAGGAAGAAATCCCGTCGAAATGTGGCAATTTGAATCCACGTAGCGAAGGTGTTGTAGCTGCCACGGGAGCTGTATCTCTATCCCCAATTTTGAGGTTGTTCAGCGTTTTCTTCACGTCAACCATCACGTTGTCAACCCGATTGTTCACTTGGTCGATTCGGGTTTCAGCTTCCGACAGGCGGTTGTCATGTTGAGCAACCCTATCCTTCACCTCCTTTATCTCTTTCCCGAAGGTAGTGTGAAGGTCCTTCATGAGAAGAAGCTGCTCTTCCAACCGACGGCCCTGTTCCTCCTGTTGGCGGGCCTGTTCCTTCTGTCCGCGCTGCAGCTGCTCTTCCAACCGACGGGCCTGTTCCTCCTGTCGGCGAGCCTGTTCCTGCAGCATCATCATCAGAGCACCTAAGTTAGGTGCTGTAGATGCAGGAGCTGATGACCGACCGGCCTCCGTGGTCAGCAGCTGGTCCTCCGATGTTTGCGGCGTTGTATTACCAAATCGTCTCTGGTCCGTCTCCAGCTGGCGTTGACTTCGAGTACCGATACCCTCCATGTCGTCCTTTGGTAAAATCGGCATGATTTAATCCCACTTCTGACACCGATTGTTACGAGCTTGAGGTTCGAGACAATTAAGAACAGCCGAGTGAATTACCAAAATTGACTATTTAATTACACAACACTAATTACAACTTAAAATCACACTAATAATAAAACACAGTTAGCTGTTATTTCGCTTCGAAGTATTCTCTTGTATCGCCAATTCAATACTGCCCCGGTCGTGGTCTATACCGGCCTTATAGGGCCTCAGATAGTTTCCAGAACCTTCTACTGTAGCGATATCTAGAATGTTCGAGTACATATCGGTCCCGAAATTTCTGGAAGGATCTCGACTCTCCTAGTTCGTTATCGTCCACAAGTTTCTAGTTAACAACGTTGTACAGATTGAGTGTGTCGACGAGGGTTGCGTACCTTATACTCAGAATCACCAAACGGTATTCGCTGAAGGTCATACAGGTTTACGCACCAACCTGGGCACATCCCGATGAGGAGGTGGAGGATATGTATGAGGATATCTCTAGAGCCATGCATTACTCCAAAACCCACTATACGGTGTTAATGGGAGACTTCAATGCAAAACTAGGCATAAGAGAGAACGGTGAGCTGAACGTAGGGAAATTTGGAATAGGGCAACAGAACACAAGGGGCCAGCAGCTGGCAGACTTCATGGAGAAAGAGGGACTCTTTATGATGAACTCTTTCTTCCAGAAGCGGCCTCACAGGAAGTGAACCTGGTCGAGCCCCGACGGTTCGACAAAAAATGAGATTGACTTCATTATGATGACCAGACGACAACTGTTCAGTGATGTCTCCGTGATCGCGAGGGTGAAAACTGGTAGCGATCACCGAATGGTTAGAGGCACACTGAACCTAAACGTAAAGTTGGAGAGGTCTCGTCTGATAAAGTCAATGCTCCGTCCCCCTCGTGCTCTAATCCAAAGTCCCGAAACCTTTCAGCTCGAGTTACCAAACCGTTTTCAGTGCCTAGAAGACTGCAATGAAGTGGACGATATGAATGACAAGCTCGTGGAAATTGTCCATGCTGTCGGAGCTAAGTTCTGCAAGACCCGCCGCAGAAGAACACAAAAACTCTCCGATCACACTCTTAATCTCATGGCTGTTAGACAGGAGATGAAGCTACATTCTTCAACAGATTTGACAGCATACAGGCATCTGAACAGACAGATCTCCAAATGCATGCGGCGGAACTTACGCAACTTCAATCCAAAGTCTCTGCCAGTGACCTTTCTGCCAGAAAGAGCCAACTGTCAAAGCTGAAGACCGAGTGTGGCAGCATCGTTTCCGGGACACCTGAGATTTTTGGTGAGATTGAGAGGTTCTATGGGCAGCTGTACACGTCATCGTTGGAGCCACTCGCAAGTGTGAATAACGATCCAAGAACGAGTCTTATCCGACACTATTCCGAAGATATCCCAGACGTCAGTCTGAGCGAGATTAGAATGGCTCTCCAGCACCTTAAAAACGGCAAGGCCCCAGGCGAGGATGGAATTACAGCGGAGCTTCTGAAAGCGGGTGGAAAACCGGTACTTGAAGTCCTTCAGAAGCTCTTTAATTCCGTTCTCTATGGTGGCACTACTCCGGAGGCGTGGAGCAGAAGTGCGGTGGTCTTGTTCTTCAAAAAAGGCGACAACGCTCTCTTGAACAACTACAGACCAATTTCCCTTCTGAGCCGCGTCTACGTGCTGTTTTCGAGAGGCATTACGAATCGTCCCGCACGCAGACTTGACGACTTCCAGCCTCCCGAACAAGCCGGTTTCCGAAAAGGCT